CCCCCACATGATCTGGTGAGCGGTGTTCACTCTGTTTACATTTTACAACCATAGAGACGGGTTTGGTGACGGCTATTAGGGGCAGATAATTTAGTTTGAAACGATTTTAAACTTAGAGGAGGTAACTAAGAGGAGGCTGCTTTCACGTGGGGGGGGGGGGGGGTAGTGTTTTTAAGCAAATATTTTCAATGGCAGCATTGGTACTGTCGAATTCACAAATTATAAATTACTGAAAAGTAGAAAAAAAACAACTAAATAGCGGTGTATGACACGCAACGGGTCGGCTCGTATAAAATAAAAACGTTATGTTTTATAACCAATTTAAAATATTAAACCAATTTATCTCAAAATGTTTTTTGTGACTTAAGACTTTAAAAACTAAGGTCTTCAATTTAAATTATTGTGTCTTTCTATTATAAAAAAAAAGTTTTTACACGACGAAAGTTTAGAAGTCATATAAACTTTTTGTACTAGCCACTATCTCCAACAAAATCCCACGAACAGTTTGTCATGTTTTAGAAGCATTAAATGGCCTTATACAAAAATAGATTTCCATTCATATTATTTTTTACTGCAGTCGACATTTGGACAAAGTCTCTACGTGTGGGCGATCAGCTCTACTGCATGAATAATTTTCTACTACCCCAAACATAAACCTTGAACACGACATTTCAAGTTTGTTCATGAACTGTGTTCTCATATAACAATCGAGGTGTGCACTAACCGAAGTCACGACACTTCGCTATATCTCAGCCGCACCAAACTAGATGGAACCAGTTTTAATTTACGCACACACAACCTAATTAATAAACACAGCCAACCATTATTTCCCTCGTTCAAAATTGAGGGACATTCAGAAGAGAGGCAGTTTACTCCCCCCTCTTCCCCCCCCCCCCCCCCCCCCCCCCCGTTTGACGGGCTTTGATCTTAGTAATAATTAATGTTTCGAGTTACGTACAGCGGCGTCGCATATCACACTGGACCATTTTTTAAACAAGAATTACGATTATCTGTCAACCTGTGAATTTGTCGACTCATATAATATATACATTATATTAAATATATAATTATATATATACATATATATATATATATATATATATATATATATATATATATATATATATATATATATATATATATATATATATATATATATATATATATATATATATATGTATGTATGTATATACGAGCAGACCCGCGTAGTATCCGCCGCTATCAAGTCGTTTTATTTTCTGTTTATCAGCAATTCATAATTTATGAATTCGACACTATAGTACGTGGTGGTGCCCCCGCATGGTCCCCACGTAGAGGCATTGTATACATATATATATACTAGCTGCATCCCGTGCTCCGCCACGGTAAATCTTTTTTAAATGTACCAACTTTGGAACAGAACAAAACAAACAAAAACATAACACAAACACAAACAAAATACAACCACAACACAACACAACCACAACACAACACAACAAAACAAACAAAAACATAACACAAACACAAACAAAACACAATCACAACACAACACAACCACAACCACAACCACAACCACAACACAACCACAACCACAACGACAACACAACCACAACATAACCACAACACAACACAACCACAAACACAACCACAACACAACCACAACACAACCACAACATAACCACAACACAACACAACCACAACACAACCACAACACAACACAACCACAACACAACCACAATACAACCACAACACAACACAACCACAACACAACCACAACACAACCACAACCACAACACAACCACAACACAACCACAACACAACACAACCACAACACAACCACAACAATAGAATCACCAACGAACAACACGCTTTTCTTAGGCATCCGCGCCCAGAGAGAGCCTTTCCAGCATTCTCTATACTATAATTCTAAATTTTCACCATCTGTTAACACTGAAAAACAAAAACAAAAAAATAGTGATTTTGAGAGATCATAGTCTAATTAGAAAATAATGTAAATAATCTTAACATTTTTTCTATTTTACTTAACATATAATAATCAATGTGGAAGTAATAAAAAAAATTAACTTAATTTATTGAGAGTGAGTTGAATATTTTAAAAAAAACATTTTCCCATACGTCCGCGCTCAGAGAGAGCCTTTCCATTATTCTCAAAAAGTCTAATTTCACCATCTGTTTTCATAACACCGAAAAACAAAAGCAAAAAGATAGTGATTTTAGAGAAATCATAGACTAATTAGAAGAAAAAAAAAATAATATAAATAATCTTAACATTTTTCTCTTTTAATTATGAACATTAACATATACTAATCAATGCGGTAGTAATACAAAAAAGATTAACTTAAATTATTGTTGAGATAAATATATTTTCAAATTACCTCCCTTGAAAAAAATTACCACAAAAAAAAGTTGAATTAATTAGTTTTTTCGACCTACTTTTATGGAAATGTATCCATTTTTTCTAGGAATATAAACTAAAATGATATTTGACATTGATCTTTTTAATATGTTTTAGCAATGTGCGAATATTTAATATTTTCAAAACGTTATGCAAAAAAGTAAACACAGTGTCATTTATAAAATAGCTCTATGCCGCTATATAAACAAACCCTACTCTAACACTTACAATAAGTGAAAAGCACAGCATGGTGCGTAGTTTACTTTTATAGTCCCAAAATCTATAGCGATGACGGACGGACGGACGGACGGACGGACGGACGGACGGAAGGAAGGACAAGCACAGCCCGCTTATATTATAGATATATATATATATATATATATATATATATATATATATATATATATATATATATATATATATATATATATATATATATGTATGTATATATATATATATATATATGTATATATATATATATATATATATACATATATATATATATATATATAAAGAGCGACAGAGAGATAGAGATAGAGGCGGAGAGAGCAACAGCCAACCAAATTATCAAATCCACACATCTTCATTAAACCAAATAGAAACGGAAGTAGTTCTTAAAACCTCTTTTTATCCTGACAATCGGACGAAAAACTGACTGCACCCTCCCATAGCCATCTTACTTTAAAAAACGTCACCTTTTCTCTACCTGCGTCATGCTCATTCTTTGAACATAAAAGTCATCTACAACAAATATACTGCCGTTCCCTAAAACACTACTTTCACTTCAGAATAGTTTTATTGTATTTGAGATCGCTGAGCGGAATAAACAAAGGTACACTACATAGACACTGTACAAATATAGAAAAACTACAAAACGCTCAGTTGTACATCAGACTACATGATGTCTTTATTAACATAATACCTAACCATACAGATGTCTTAAATACAAATTCCGAGATGGTTTTTAGGGGAAAACAATGCATACGAATGCAAAAAAAGCCCAAATAACATGGATGGACAAAATTAGGCTGGGTGAAAAAAGCCCAAATCGTGTGGCGGACAAAAGCCCAAATTGTGTGGGCGAACTAAAGCCCAAATCGTGTGTGCGAACTAAAGCCCAAATTGCCCTATTGAGACATAAAAGCCACAGACAGCACAAACATAAAAAATTGACAAAAATCTTTAACGTCCTTCGTAAGGTGACCTAGTTCCTAAATAGACCTGTTGATTTCACAGTTCAGCGCTCCTTGTGACAAAGATTGTATTTCCTATCTGTCTGCCAACGCGACGTGCTATTTCTCACCAATTGATTTATTCTACCATACCAAATCGTCTGCTAACGATTCCAGCCTGCATGAAACCTGATACCTCGGTGCGTGGGATACCCGAACGAATATTTTACAGAGATTTTATTTTTCCTTCCTGTCTAGTTCATGTGCATGGGCTTCAGTTAGTGATTAAGGGGAGAGCGGTGAAGGGCGATAACTGGTCGATGTTTTGCACAATTGTACTAACCAGCACCAAATATTATATTTGCTGTAAAAACCAACTACGACCTTTTGACAAATGATATCAAGCTTAAAACTAAATTTTAAATAGTATAATGCATAGTGATATTCATAGCTCATTCATAGTCTATAAAGATTTTTTTTACACCCATGTTGATATTTTGCATTCATGTTACTTACGAAGTCTGAAATAAGAGAATTCTTTAAAAGAATGTTTTTTTAGGCGAAGTATTATGTGTGTTGTTATGAGAGGTGTAGCGCAGGGTTCGGCAACCTGCGGCTCGCGAGCCGCATACGGCTCTTTTGATGTCAAGGTGCGGCTCTCCAGTTGCACATATAGATCAAGGCCCATTAGTAATTATATTATTTTATTTTCAAAACTCATTAAAAAAATAATATACTGTAAAGAAAACACTGTAGCCATTCTATTCAATACATAGGTAACGACTAAAAATAAAATAATTTACAATACATATTATTAATTTGCATTTCATGTATTAATTAATGTAGGCCTATAATATTTTAATTAGGACAAATCAGTGTACACTAGGCGCACCTCAAATTTTGAAAACCGCTGACTCGACACCCATGTTTACTAGACCATAGGCTTATGTGGCGTAGTGATATGTGTGTGTGGGGGGGGGGGGAAGGGGAGGGGGGTAGGGGTAGGGGTCTGGTAATGGAATTGCACGAATAGATTTTATAAACCATACAGATATCTATAGGTTCCTAGGAAAAGGGAGAGATTTCTTTGTAAAGCTAACTTTGGATTTAAAAGATAGACTGGCTTGAATATACGTATTTCTATGTGTCTGTATGCAGCTGTTTGTGTAGTTGTATATATGCCATGTAATTTTTTTTTTAAATGGATGTTTCTTTCATGAGCAAAGTTCCAGATAGTAGTTCAATTTTTTTTTATTGCGAAATTCCAAGATGGTGGGGTGTTGGGGGGGGGGGGGGGGGTGCAGAATTCAAGACTCCACATTCCTGCTTTTAAAAAATTTGTGGCTTTGTCTGACCTAGGATACACACCCACACGGATACACACCCACACAGATACACCCACACAGAGACACATACACACACACAGAGACACACACAGACACATACACACAAGGTTCGTCTGCTATATAATGGCCAGATATTCCAGCAGCGATTCTTGTGTTGTGTTCGTCTCGGCGTTTTAAGGACCAAACCAAAAGTAAGTCACACACTTAGATTCTCTGGCAGCCTGCCTCTTCTCGTTATCGTCCCCGTCAATCACAAAGTCCACCTCTACTATTCTATCCACTACTACCAATAGTACAGCTACTACAACTACTACCACTATCATTATTATCATCGCCATCATCGTTATATCATCATCATCACTATTATCACTATTATCACTATTGTTATTATTATTATTATTGTCATTATTGTTATTATTATTATTATTATTATCATTATTATTATTATTATCATTATCATTATCATTATCATTATCATTATCATTATCATTATCATTATCATTATCATTATCATTATCATTATCATTAGCATTATCATTAGCATTAGCATTAGCATTAGCATTAGCATTAGCATTAGCATTAGCATTAGCATTAGCATTAGCATTAGCATTAGCATTAGCATTAGCATTAGCATTAGCATTAGCATTAGCATTAGCATTAGCATTAGCATTAGCATTAGCATTAGCATTAGCATTAGCATTAGCATTAGCATTAGCATTAGCATTAGCATTAGCATTAGCATTAGCATTAGCATTAGCATTAGCATTATTGCTGTTATTATTATTATTATCATTATTATTATTATTATTATTATTATTATTATTATTATTATTATTATTATTATTATTATTATTATTATTATTATTATTATTATATCTAACAGATGAAAACACTGGAAATAATTTTGTTTTTGATTGTTGTTGGATGTGCTGCCGACAGGAGGAATCGGTATGTTTTGTTTTATAAATATATGTTACCGAGTGTATTTACTCGCAGCGCCAAATGTTACTGGGTATATTTACTCGTGCTATCTTTGACCGGCACACAACATTAATCACAATACAGATACTCTGAAGTGCAGGTTTACATTTATCTCTTTATTAATTGAATCAATAGAAATGCTCCACATAGCAATGCATCAATGTTCCACAAGAATACAATGAACCAACTGACCCCCACTGTCCTCACTAGTTCTCACACATCAGAATACACGTGTCCATGGTTCAGGCTTCCAATCTTATTCTAACAAATTAAAACACGTATCTACAGTTCAGGCTTCAACTTCTATTCTCTACAGTTCAGGCTTCAACTTCTGTTCTCTACAGTTCAGGCTTCAACTTCTGTTCTCTACAGTTCAGGCTTCAACTTCTGTTCTCTACAGTTCAGGCTTCAACTCCTGTTCTCTACAGTTCAGGCTTCAACTCCTGTTCTCTCTACTACTGTCGTGCCGTCCTATTATATCCCCTCGTATTCGTAATCGGTTCTATCCGTTGCATCATAGCTATGTACAGTCCGATTATCTCGCCTCCCAACTACGCAGTTGTCTTGTACTAGTTATTATTAGACTTTTGTTTCTATTTCTGTCACACCACCTGCATCCGTTGCATCAGTTCAGTTTGGTCTTGGTCATGTCTTAGTTGACAGACTGTATTGCGTTCTTATCAATCGTCTTTAGTAACTACACTAGTTACATCCACCCCCGCCGTTTTTTTGTGTTCTCAACCACAAACAACGCTTGGCAGGTGCACTCCTCCAATGTCAAACGCAACACCGTAAAAAAAAGTTACTGTTCCACTCACTGTCAATGTCATCACATTCGTACAAGATTGACAGTTATCCCTATTTCAAAATACTAAATGTGTCTACATCATATTCCTTAGAAACAAATCAGTTCTAGAATTCACATCCACCCCCGCCGTTTTTTTCGTTTGGTGTCATCACCAGTTTACTTTTATAGCTTTTGGACAGTCTGTTCTCATACCAGCGCGACCATGAAAGAATTGATGGTTGCTGACGAAAAATTTCGTACTCTTTCTGTTCCTCAAACTTCTCCGCGGACCACTTATCTGATATTCTACTGTCTCTCTACTTCTGGGAGGACCGGGATCCTCATTGTTGCAGTTATCCTCCACTTGTGTATCGCTGTTATGCTGTTGATGGTGACATGGTTCCGGGATGGGTATGTGAATTTCCGTGTAAGTTTCTGGTTCCCTAATTGTCTTAGTTTTCTTTGTGTGTAAATGCTCTTCTTGATTATGCCAATATTTCTTTAATTGAGTAATATTCGCCCAACGGTCCGGTTTGGTGTGATTGGTGGGTCTTACTTTAAAGGGGCCACCGGCTACTTTAGGCATCTCCACGACCTGCCATACCTCCTGTCCCCAGAAGTCGTGGATTTTTTTCTGCGTAATGGGTGGCTACGCAGTAATACTTTGTCGTTCAGTTGGAGTGGCGGGTCTTTTGTCTGTACCAGCGGTTCTCTTCGCCGTGCTTCATGTTCTAGTCTTTCTTGTACCAGCCTGTACATTTCTCTAATTCGTCTCATATGTTCATTCACATATTCCAGTGCGGTGTATGAGCCAGTCATGCTTTCCTTTTTTCCTAGGAACAAGTCAAGAGGGAGTCGAGCCTCCCGTCCGAACAGTAACATATGTGGCGAAAGGCCGGTTGTGGCATGGGGGGTGCAGTTGTATAGGTATACCAACTCTGGGAGAAAATCAGGCCAACGTTTTTTCTGTTCAGGTTCTAGAGTACGCAGCAAATCATGCATGCTGCGGTTGAACCGCTCGCACTGTCCGTTTCCTTTAGGATTATATGTGGTTGTTCTAGATTTGTTGATCCCGTAGTGGCTGCACAGTTGGTTAATTACTTCTGACTCAAAGGCCCTTCCTTGGTCAGAGTGTAATTGTCTTGGTATACCATATTTGATGAACCAGTGTTCTATTAAGACCTTTGCCACTGTTTTAGCCGTCTGGTCTCGTGTGGGCACCGCGACAGTCCATTTGGTGAATACGTCAGTCATCACCAACACATGTTCCGTCCCATCCGATGATTGCTCCAACGACGTAAAGTCCATAGCCACAATCTCTAGGGGTTTTGTCGCCAATAGGTGTCCTGATGGCTGTCTCATTTTGACAACTGGCATTTTCGCATGCTGACACCTCACACAAGCCTCACAATGGCGTTTGACCTCCAACTCCATATTGGGCCAGTAGCACCGCCGTCGTAATATTTTGTGCGTCCTGTCCTGACCCTGGTGTCCTGCCCTGTCATGTGCCAACCTTAGCACCTCTTCTCGTAACTGTCCAGGCACCACCACTTAGTGTATTGTCCCTTCTATGTGGTCATGAATTCTCCGCATGAGAACACCATCCTTCATACTGAGGCGGTCCCACTGACTCAGTAGTTTCTTTGTTTCCCGACCAAACTGTTCTCTTTCCCTTCTTCTTGGGAATTTTTGTTCCTGGACGTATTTCAACAGCGGCTGTATCCCACTATCCGTTCTCTGGGTATCTCTTATCTCTTTATGATTAAGGCAATTAAAATCACTGGTGTCCATGTGTCGGGGCTCTGTGGATGTGTGCTCCACCGCGGCCTGCCCGTTTTGCATCACTTGCACCTCGTGAGGGATATCTGTTGACGCTCTGACCTCACATATTCCTGTCAGCGTTTCTTCCTCATCGTCCGGTCTCTCGTAAGGGTTCCTGGATAAAGCGTCAGCCTTGCCATTGGACTGCCCTGAGCGATATTTTATCTCCTTGCTGTGTTTCTGTGTCATTTTGTTTCTTAGGCCATAACCTCGCCCCTCTGTAGCCTGGACCTGCCTTACAGAGGGCGATCGTTTCCCCGGACAGTACCGTGCCATATGTCCGGGCTGTGAGCAGTACAGGCAGATTGGTCGACCGTCAGCTGTCCACTGGAGTGATTGATTTGCAGGTCGCGGCTGTCTAACTTGTCTATGTCTTGTCCAGTTTTTGCCGTGGTTATCTGCTGTTGACCTACTTTCTAACCTCTCCAACCGTTGGTCAACCCTGTCCAGGTGAGCCAACAGTTGAGCCATCATGGTTTCCATCGTGCTGGTCCCTGTAGGTGGTGATTGTTTCTGTTCCGGCAGAGACTTTGTCTACCGAGCCGTTCGATTCGTCCTCATACTCTGACCTGCGGATCGCTGAGTTCCTGACCTGAAGGAAGGTCAACTGTGGGTCCTTGTACACCTCCTCTTTCAAATCTCTTCTTAAGATAGGGATCGCTAACCCTTCGATAAAATGATCCCTCAGCAGGCGCGCATCAATGTCGGGTGTTTTGCCATTTACAGCGTCAAAGGCCCTGTTCATTCGGTGTGAATATTCCATCACACTCTCCGCCAGTCTCTGCTTTAGACCTACGAACCCCGATAGCAGTTGCGACCCCGACCGTCTCTCACCAAAGGTCTCCACAATTAGATATAGCACCTTATCTGGATCTGTTTGGGGGGCTTTATCGTGGCATTTGACCTCCGCCCTAACCGTCTCCCCTATACTGCTCATCAACAACCTTAATCTTTCCTCTGGTGACATGTATCTCGAGGCCCAGGCAGCTTTCACCTCCTCACAGAATCTGTTAGTTAAGGTTGAATCACCGTCTCCATAAAATTTGTTTATGTGGGATTCTCTGGGCAGGACCACAATATGGGTCGGCTTTTCGTCCAAATTAGACATTCTAATTTTTTTTTCGGTAAAGTTTATCCTTAAATATATTTTCTTTGAATAAAAAGACCTTTCCTACCGTTTATGTAAGAATACTTTTCCCTGTTCCTGATTGTCCGAATTCACACACAAAACACAGTTATTAACTAGATTGACAATGGGTGCCGCTAACGGCTGGTCTAGTTGAGTTCAGCTACTCGCAGCGCCAAATGTTACTGGGTATATTTACTCGTGCTATCTTTGACCGGCACACAACATTAATCACAATACAGATACTCTGAAGTGCAGGTTTACGTTTATCTCTTTATTAATTGAATCAATAGAAATGCTCCACATAGCAATGCATCAATGTTCCACAAGAATACAATGAACCAACTGACCCCCACTGTCCTCACTAGTTCTCACACATCAGAATACACGTGTCCATGGTTCAGGCTTCCAATCTTATTCTAACTAATTAAAACACGTATCTACAGTTCAGACTTCAACTTCTGTTCTCTACAGTTCAGGCTTCAACTTCTGTTCTCTACAGTTCAGGCTTCAACTTCTGTTCTCTACAGTTCAGGCTTCAACTTCTGTTCTCTACAGTTCAGGCTTCAACTTCTGTTCTCTACAGTTCAGGCTTCAACTCCTGTTCTCTACAGTTCAGGCTTCAACTCCTGTTCTCTCTACTACTGTCGTGCCGTCCTATTATATCCCCTCGTATTCGTAATCGGTTCTATCCGTTGCATCATAGCTATGTACAGTCCGATTATCTCGCCTCCCAACTACGCAGTTGTCTTGTACTAGTTATTATTAGACTTTTGTTTCTATTTCTGTCACACCACCTGCATCCGTTGCATCAGTTCAGTTTGGCCTTGGTCATGTCTTAGTTGACAGACTGTATTGCGTTCTTATCAATCGTCTTTAGTAACTACACTAGTTACATATAATTGGTGTTATGTTCAATTACGATATGATATAAACACGAAAAGTCTCTATTACAATGGCCAATCACAAGTGAGTTTATGGTCTTATCACAAATTTTTCATCATTCTCATCAGCATCATTATCTTTTCTCGCTCGAGCTCAAGTCACATGGGGCAGATGAAGTAGAGTTTATCGGTTTTATTGACTTTGGCATACTGTTGGATGGTGTTGGCAGCTCTATGTCCAGTCGCCTTTGTTACCCTGGCGGGAGTCTGTTACCCATTAAAGCTGGGTGGACTCAAAGACATTCTACATTATTAAACTCTAGCCCGGGATCCGAACTCGAAAATCTCGGGTTAGCTCTACCATCCTACTGCGCCGTCCCTGTATCGGTTTTTTTAAACCCTGTTTATCTATATAGGTAATTCTCATTATGAGGACCATTCACGCATGCGAGACATCACGTAAACGCACGCCGTTACTTCCCTGCTCTCTAAGCATATAGCTGGTGAGCTGTGGTTCACTCCAAATGTTTACAAGTAGAGCAGAGTCGAATTAATGACGGCTATTAGGGGCAGATAATTTGAAACTAAGAGGAGGTAACAGGTTCTGCTTGATATTTTCATTGTCCTCTGTAAACTGTAGTCACGGACGGCTGCTTTCACAGGGGAGGAGAGTGGGAGGGAGGCAGTGTTTCTTCCAGACTTTTTTCTCCGGGGGGGGGGGGGGGGCGGTAGACTTTCTTCGGGGGGGGGGGGGCGGACACTGTTAAAATTATATATTTTCTATATAAATTATATAAATTTCATTTCGTTCGGGGGGGGGGGGGGGGGGCTGGAAGAAACTCTGGAGGGAGGGTAGTAATTATGAATTACTGAATTGTGGAAAATAAAACAAGTAAATAGCGGCGTATGTTACGCCGCGGGTCGGCTCGTACTTATATATAAAGCTTAATCATTAGATGGTAAAATGAGCGAGGATTTTGAAGAGGCGTAGCAAGCTTTTCCGGGGCTTACTATAAATTTTGCGCCCCCTCTCTCCCAATTCCATACATAGTTATTCCTGTCTGTGAAAAAGCGCCCTTTCCGCAGTTAAAAAGGCTTGTGGCGCTTATTACCAGTTTCTAACTCGTAAAATTTTCTATTTCGATGCCACACAATTGATATTTAAAACAGTTAAATCATTGTGCCAAGTCTTTAAGTCGTTTATTTTCGTTACTTTGTGTATAATTCAATATTTCAGCTTATAATCGAGATTTTCAATTGAATTTTTCGTTTTCTACCCCTTTTTGGCGCCCCCTTAGGGTTGGCGCTCGAGGCGGCCGCCCCACCCGCCCTGAGACTTGGTTGTATTTAAAGTAGTTATACCCAGTGTGGAAAATGACGTCAAATCGTATTTACAAGAAGTCCATTGTAGGTGGGTTACCCATCTATTATATTTGAATGTTCGTATATCAACGAAAACTATACTTTTCGCGAATTTTCGTGAAATTTTTAACTGCGGCTACATCTCCGTGCATGTCCGTACGTGTACGTTTAGTTTGTAGTATTCTTCTGTTTGCAAATGAACATTTAGCGTAACACATGTCAGTAAAAATAGCAAAATGATACAAACTACAATTATGCATATTACTCTTTTTATAATAGTGCCTGATATATAACAAGTTATATGTTATATGAAAATATTTCCCATAGGAATATGTAATAGACATGATAAGTATGCATGTCGCAAGAGAAGAAAATCTAGACAGACAGACGACTTACGACAGACTGACGACAGACAGAGGAAGTGAGTTAAATAAACGCTTGTAAAAATCGGTCTAATTTGAGGTACATGAATCGCCATAAAGATTGTGAATTAAGTAAACGTTTACAATAAAATTCAGACATCCATATCAGTATATGTATTTTTATCTTATGCACAGACCTGAAGGTTATGAAGGGGATATTTTCGGAAGATTTCCGGGTTATTTCTACACTAAGGAAGAAATAAATAATCTCCTAACGGAATTAAATATGGTATGTTTCAAGCTTTATTGCTTATTAGGTTATTATTGAAAGATAAAAACGTTCATAAAAACATGTTTTAAGTTATCTAAACACTTAAAATTATAGCTAAAGGTCGTTCGTTTTGTTATTTTGCTGCACTACAAAAGGGTTTTTATACATGTTTTTTTTTAAAATAAAAGATTGTAATAAAACTTCAAAAAGTATGAACCTTAAAATGTGGGTGTTTTTCAAAACATTGCTTTCACCAAAGATCTCTAGATCTATCTAGATCTAGAATTCATGCCAAAAAAGTGTTTACTTTTCTGTTTTATTGAATGGTAATAAATGTAATTTGAACACACAAAAACAGGCGAGGTCAATGGAAACTGGGATAGCAGGCTCTGATCCAATCAATCATGCATGTTGTTCTAGGTAAGCTGTTTTTTTTTTATATTTATAATTTAGAAGTATTACACGTTGGTAAATAGTATAATAGGTATCCAGGGGTGGTAACACTACTTACAAATTGTGGAGCGTAAAGCTGAAACATAACTTTCCCACGCCTCACCTTTTGTTGATGATATGTAATGGCGGTATATGTGTGTATGTGAGCGTGTGTGAGTGAGTGAGTGAGTGCATGTGTGTTTTGCGCGCGCAACTGACTGTGTGTGTTATACCTATATACAAATGAGAAAGAATGGGGGAGGGAAATAGAACTTTTGAGTAGAAATATTATTTAAAGAACTAATAACACGTTTCTATTTAAAGAACAGTTTTAGTACATTTGTCTACTTCTACTCAATTAAACACGATAGTGACTTATTTACTAGTTAGAATAAGGAGTATAGAGGAAGTGTGCTTTATATAATCGTACAAAAATTACGAAACGAGTTTTAAACCTTTGTGAGTCTTAAAAACTTATTTGCAATATTGTCTACCGATCTGACACTCTCTTTTTTACTTTCTCGTATATACGAAGTATAGAGAAAGTATTGTTATAGAGAAAGTATTGTAATCGTGCACAAAAAAAAATCGATATTTTTGGAAATCTCGACGTTTTACACCTCACTGATACGGAAAAACATACTTGTGCAATCTTGTCCGTATGTCTGTGTGAATGTCTGTGTGTGTCTGTGTGTGTGTTTTGACAGTTTTCATCGTTTTACTCCTCAGTCCTTCATCACATCCGGAGTATAGAGGACTTATTTTAATCAGGCAAAAATTATAAATACAAATATATAAACGTTTTGGCGTTTTATGCGTTATCGAGTCGTAAAAACTGGACTTTTCAATTCTGTCCGTATGTCTGTGTGTCTGTCTGTGTGTCTGTTTGTGTGTCTGTGTGTAAACACGATAACTTGAGTACCATTACAGCTAGGTTGATGAAATTTCATATATAAGTATTTAATCAAAATCGTAGATCCTGATCAGCTTTTGGGCGATTTCCGATAACCGGAAGTGGTACTTTTTCTACTTTGAATTTTTCAAATGCCTATAAGTTGCGTACTATTTTAGATAGATGCATGAAATTTCACACGTAAGTCAAAGATCTAATTCTCTACCTTCTGTCAAATTTTGAGTAATTTCCGTTGACCGGAAGTACTAATTTACGCTATTTCCGATTTCTCAAAAACTCATGTAAATTTATAAAGTACTAATAATATCCCGCACTTTTATGCACATTTTATTAGGCGTTCACTTGGTTTGGGACGGAGTGGTCTAGCGGTAGAGAGCTGGACTGCTAACCCGTTAGTCTCGAGTTCGAATCCGAGTTCAAGTCAGTAGACCGTCCCTGAGTCCACCCAACTCTGATGGGTACCTAACTCCTGTTAGGGAAAGTAAAGGCGGCTGGGCATAGTGCTGACCACACTATCTCTTCATATGCCGAGGTCACAGAAACAAGTGAACTCTACTTCACTTGCCCCATAGACCGTCAGATTTGAAAGGGAAACTTTTCACTTGGTGTGCAATTCTTTGTTTTTACGAGATTCTATTCTATTATAAAAAGTTTAAGTAATTAAAAATGGATAACAAATATTGTCTATGTCCTGAGTTGCCATCCCTCGTAATTTTATATTAGAATATTCGAGAAAGTTTTGGGGAGATCACTCCCGGTTTTTTTAAATTGATGACTCTTTTATTGTCTTTTCATTTATAATTTTTGCTAATTTGTGTTTAGTCTACGCATCATATCTTTTTTAGTACCGCTAACTACACAAGTTTCGAAAAAGTAACTGACATCAATGGACGCAATGTCACCTTGGTGAAGGTCAATAATCGCTCTCAGTATTTCCTTCAGGAAACATGCACGTAGGGATATTTTTTTTTAATTTTACCTATAGTATATTTAAAGCTCAATGGCTGTAATTAACTTGGTAATGGTTCTCCGTTTCACGTTAAGTTTAAAGAATATGATGTTTATGTTAATCTTTGTATCTTTTGTCTTTTTGTTTAAATGCACGTATGCTTGCATTTGCAAACGTTTCTTAATGTCTTCTGTTAAATGTATTTTAATGTTAAGTTCTATTTTTGAACCTGACGGTCCATGGGGCAAGAGAAGAAGATTTCTCTTGTTTCTGTGACCTAGCATTATGAAGGGATAATATGGTCAGCACTGTACCCAGCCGCCTCTACTCTAACGTGAGTTAGGTACTCATCAGGGATGGGTGGACTCAGTGACGTTCTACTGACCTGAACCTGAATTCGAACCTGAGACTTTCGAGTTAACAGTCCAGCGCTCTACCGCTTGACCTCCCTGTCCCATGTTGATTTTTTTTTTATGTATGGAAAAATTAAATGTGTAATCCACAGCCAAAGCTCGACGCCTTGTACTTGTAAATGTAAGTGTAAGATGATGCCACAGATCTTTACGGCTATAGTTGAGAACACAGCGTACAGCAACGTCAACACTAACCAAGTGATGTTGGCGCTCGTAAAGGTGGACTCGATTTGTCGGTGCATCAACAACGCTCCACCTCCACCTCCCCCTCACACCCAGGACACCACGCCGACAGGTGTACCAGATACAGAACTATAACAATTTACACTTTGTTGTGTTTGTCTATATTTAGTTTAATATGTGAATAGCATATGTTTTATCATTTTATAATAATAGAACCTACCAAACAAGATACTAGAAAGTTTATATCTATCTATATATATAATTCTCTTCTGGGAGACGTTAGAAAACAAACTGCAAGCGCCTCCTTGCAGTCCCCTCTCTTTCTCTCTATCACTATCACTATCACTACCACCCCCACCCCACCCCCACATGGTCTGGTGAGTTGTGGTCACGCTAAATTAAATGTTACAAATCGTAGAGCCGGGTTTAGTGACGGCTATTAGGGGCAGATACTTTAGTTTGAAACAATTTTAAACTTACAGGAGGTAACTAAGAGGAGGCTGCTTTCACGGGGTGGGGGGGGGGGTGTAGGGTCGGGGTTAGAGTAAAAGGGGGGTTAGTGTTTTAAAGCACATATTTTCAGTGGCAGCATTTGTACTGTCGAATTCACAAATTATGAATTACTAAAAAGTAGAAAATAAAACAACTAAATAGCGGCGTATGATACGCCGTGGGTCGGCTCGTATATATATAATTCTCTTCTGGGAGACGTTAGAAAACAAGCTGTAAGCGCGCCGAGCAGTCCCCTCTTTTCCTGTCTAGGCATATCGCAACCACCCCCACCCCCACATGGTCTGGTGAGCTGTTGTTCACGCTAAATGTTTACAATCGTAGAGACGGGTTTAGTACGGCTATTAGGGGCAGATAATTTAGTTTAAAACTATTTTATACTTAGGGGAAGTAACTAAGTGGAGGCTGCTTTCACGTGGGTGGGGGGGGGGGTAGGGGTTGGGGGAAAAGAGGGTTTTAGTGTTTTAAAGGAAATATTTTCAGTGGCAGCATTGGTACTGTCGAATTCACAAATTATGAATTACTAAAAAGTAGAAAATAAAACAACTAAATAGCGGCGTATGATACGCCGCGGGTCGGCTCGTTGTAAATAATAGACAAATGACCATTTCGTCCGTAACGGGAAGATCAGTTATTAATGACGTCTCATTTGAATTAATTGTGTCGTCTGCCCCAAATCCAGCGGCCTCAAATTTCCCCAAGTTATCATTACGTTTAAAGACTGAGGATCGAACGCCTGCCATAGACTATTGACAGCAACCACGCTACTACTTTACCACGCGTAATTGCATAAGCACTAAACATAGTTATTGAAATATTTATTTAAATGTTTAATATTTGACACTTGAAACTACTTAAAGCACACTTAACCAGAAAGTCAGAAAGAAAATGTTGTGTTCTTTTTCTTGGACTAAACAAAGTGGAATTCGATGGTCAGATGTGCAAGTCGAGTATTTATCAAATCGGCATCCAAGAACATTGATGGAATTTTCGTGGCTCTCTCGCCTTGTCGAATGAGCATAGCCCAAGCCGGTTATACCCGTGTTAAGATTGTGAAGTTTTACATCCTCATGTACTCATCAGCGCTGGGGGGGAGGGGGGGGGTGGGGAGGGGAGGGGGTGTCGTTATAAAGCTAAACCAACAACCGACGCATCGTTTTAATTCGAATTTGTGTTCAGAATTAGGAAACAGCACTTATCTTTTGTCGGCCGTAACACCGCGTTTATACATGTATACTATAGACCTCTAAAAAAAAAAACCTTGGCTTAAGTTAATTGTATCCGATCATGTATAGGGAAGACTACTCATTTATATGTTTTTTTCTAGACATGTATAGTATACTTGTCTAGACATGTTTAGTATACATGTCGCAAGTCAGAACCCATAGGTAACACGGGCGAGAGTAACGTTTATCATTTAACCCTGTTCCGATTTGTCTGGGTAATGAACAAAAATTTGAGTCGGTACTGACCATCATATGTGAGAGTGTTTAGAAGATCTTAAGAAAATTCTTCTTTTTGATTTAACAAAAAATATAGTTTTTTTGTTGTTGTTTTTTTTAAGTTTAAAGTATATTCTTACAAGCATTAGCTGATGATTTCATGTTTCTTATTTTGTTCGTTTTTTGCCATTATTATAAATATGTTATTTTAACTGGGGAACTTACTCATATTACTTGGTTTGATTTTTTAAATATATATTTTGTGTATGTGAGTATATGTAGCTCAATTGATGTTCTGTAACGCACCTTTTAATAAATACGACTAGTAAGTAGGTCACCAAACAGTTCTATGGCTCATGCATGTTTATTGAGCCGTAGAACTGGTTGGTGACCTACTTACCAGCCCTATTGCAATTAACTACAACTTTAGAAAAAAAAATACTTTTGCAATTTTAACCTTATTTTAAACTGCCACGCGATTCTGTGCAGTTGTCATACACAATACATATGTGATGAAACTATCATCAACTTCTAAACACTTTTAAATAATATAATAAAGCTATCACGCCTATTGAACAAAATCAGTATTGTAATAGTAAGGCTGGTAAGTAGGTCACGAATCAGTACAACGGCTGAATAAAACCTGCAAGAGCCATAGAACTGGTTGGTGACCTACTTACCAGCCCTATTTCTTGCGTTTAGTTTTTTTTCCTAACAACGCTTTAGTGTGCTCCCATGGTTAAAAAACTTGATTATGATGCTGTTTTGCCAACAAAGAAAGTGTATGTGTGTTGGTATACTTCGGTGCGAGTGTACGTGGAAGTATGAGAGAAAAAGAAAGAGAAAGCGAGAGAGAAATACACTGATAACACTGAAAACTGATTACAAAAACCTTTAAAATAACTTTTGTATGAAAATTAAGTTTTATTAATGCAAAAATCTTCAATGATACAATGTAGAATTTTAAAACAGAAAAATAAAAGTATGTCAATACTATATGATATGTACAATAATTAATTTATATATATATATATTGTATATACATATATATATATATATATATATATATATATATATATATATATATATATATATATATATATATATACTGACAGAGGTTTATAAAACGAAATCCAGCGAGCATCTTGAAGTCTCTAGTGACTATGTTGTCTTGAGAGACGATTGAACTCAAGAGTTACATAGGGAGCTCAATGGCTGGCTGTTGATCCTCGGGCTCATCCATATAGGAACTTTCTTCCCCCATGCCATGGGTTATTTTCCTTTTGCTGCGGTCAAAGGCAATCAAATCAATCAAAACTGTACCAAGCTTTAAAGAATCGCCAACTTTATGTGGTGAAGTAGAGTTGTTTGGTCGTGGTTGAAGTTTATCCCGGGGGTAGCATCTCTACACCCGGGGGGGGGGGGGGAGCAGTGCTACCCTGAGGTAGCAGCCTTGAGCGCAGGGGATAGTAGCACTACTTCGGGATTAGCATAACTACTCTGGGGGTAGCAGTGGCGTAGGCAGGGGGTTAGGGGGGTCATAACCCCCCCCCCCCATAGACCCCTCGGTATATATAAAGTTTGAGGGGGGAGGTGCAAATCGAAAGTTTGTCCCCGGGTAAAAATTGGAACCCCCCCCCCTGAGACGATCCTGGCTACCCCGGTAGGTAGCAAAATTACCCCAGGTTAGAAGCACTACCCCGGGGGTAGCAGCACTAAACCTGTGGTACAACCTACCCCCGGGGGTAGCGGCACTAAGCCAAAGGTACAACACTACCCCCGGGGGTAGCAGCACTAAGCCTGTGGTACAACCTACCCCCGGGGGTAGCAGCACTAAGCATAGGGTTAAACAACTACCCCTGGGGGTAGCAGCACTAAGCCTGTGGTACAAACTACCCCGGGGGTATCAGCGCTAGGCCAAGAGTACAACACTACCCCGGGGGTAGCAGCACTAACCCAAGAGTACAACACTACCCCGGGGGTAGCAGCACTAAGCCAAGAGTACAACACTACCCCGGGGGTAGCAGCACTAAGCCAAGAGTACAACACTACCCCGGGGGTAGCAGCACTAAGCCAAGAGTACAACACTACCCCCGGGGGTAGCAAACACTAAGACTGTGGTACAAACTACCCCGGGGGTATCAGCGCTAGGCCAAGGGTACAACACTTCCCTGGGGGTGGCAATAATACACCGGAAGGCAGCAGAACTACCCCGGGGGTAGCAGCACTAACCCCGATGTTTTTAAAACAAATCCGGGGGTCGGTCGGCGAACACTGTCCCCGAAGGATCTGCTATAGACCGGGGGGGGGGGTAGCAGCACTCGCCGGGTATGGTAGCGCTCGCTCATGAGCAGGGGGGGGGGGGGTCAGCTCTATACCGGTAGTGATAAGACTAGCCCGTTGGAAGCAGCGCTATGAATATGTGTATGCCGGTGCTATATAAAATGTGTGTATATATGAGTGTGTGTCTGAGTAAGTAGGGACCCATTGAATACTTTCCACTGCAGGTTACTACTATGCTTCCCTCATTGATGAAGGCTGTTAGATTATACGCTATTACAAAATAAAATATCTTTATGGTTTATTTGTATATATATATATATATATATATATATATATATATATATATATATATATATATATATATATATATATATATATATATATATATATTAATGCATATTAATGACTTAATATTGGATATGTCATACGAAGTTCATTTTCAAATGTATTATAATTTTTTTTTATATACTAATTATCATATAAGTAATTATCTAATGTGGGGTAACAGGGCATTTTATTTTGGGGGGGGGGGGGGGGCGCATGACCCATCTTGAAAAACAGCACGGCTGCCTATATGTGTGTATGTGTTTGAGCTGGGTATTAACTACACATAACTACACGTGTAAACAAACTGTGTTCTCACCTAACCATGAACATGATAAAAGCGGCAATCGGGATGAGTAAAACCAGCCACCACAGGTACCTTTTGTTATTAGTTTCAGTGGCTGAAAGATGGGTTTTTTTTTAAACATTCTTTTTCGAAAATCAAATTTATTTTTATTCTTCGAAAAATAAAAACTTAAAATAATAATAATGTATTAATATTGTTAAGTTTGAATTAACATAAATTAAAACATTGAGAAATGTTTATTAATTTTTTAAAATCATTTAATTAACAAAAACCAAAATTATGTAAGCATCCGTACGGTTTGAACGTGTGAAAAAAATTCAAATGAAGTTTTGGGTTACTACACTACAAACTGCAAAGCATGAAGTCAAGAAAAAGTCAGATTGAGTCTAAAAACATGTCTTAATTCATTGAAGTGATCGAAATATTACTTGTCAGTTTTGATCCATGATAAAGCACGATAGAAAAAAAAAAGCACGAGGAAGAAAATTAGATAAAAATATGTAAAAAAAAAAAAAAAAAAATGCCTTATTTCACTCACGTGGGCAAGTTCCCTCCACTTTATCCAAACATTCAGCCCCACATTTCTCCATGCACCTCCCCAAACAGTTGGCGCCAAATGTGTATGCTGGGCAAACTAGGCAACATAAGGCAACATATATACTTATCAGGGGTTTTATTAACGTATTTTTTTAAAAATCAATTATGCCTTTGACAAGTACATCTTAACTGTGGAGTAATCTATGTGAAAAGTCTAAAGCAACTGGGAATTTTTAACAATACAAACACTCTCAAGTTAACTAAAGCTAAAACAACATTACTCACACTAAGTGCACGTGAGTTCTGGCGATACAACACTAGTCACACTGAATGCACGAGTTCTGACGATACTTACACTGAGTGCACGTGAGTTCTGACGATACAACACTACTCACACTGAATGCACGATAGCTCTGGCGATACAACACTACTCACACTGGCTGCACGAGAGTTCTGGCGATCCATATCCCGTCTTACACCTGGAGCAGGTCCCGGTAAACTTGTCGCAGTCCCCATCACAGTTCTCACACGACCTCGTGCAGTCCCAAAACCATCGACCGAAGGTGCACTCTGGATTCAAAATGTGAGGACCCTTGTTAGAAGTTATATAGAGCTAGTGTCGGATATCGTTATAACTGTGTAAAGATAAGCCTCCAGAATGTACTTCTTTACATTTGAAATATGAGAAAGAAATCCATAAATACATATAACTACATCAATATACATATATATATATATATATATATATATATATATATATATATATATATATATATATATATATATATATATATATATATATATATATATATATATATATATATATATATATATATATATATATATATATATATATATATATATATATGGGGGTGTGTGCTGATTGTGTCTGTTTGTGTCTGTTTGTGTATGTTATAAGCAAGGCTATCTATAGCATGCCCTAAATGTAGGAACAAAAAGACAAGATAGTGTTTCATAGTAGGGTCATCATTTCTGTAAAACTCATGGTTGCTAAACCAAAATTTTTAGAGCTCAAACCCTAATCGATTAAATAACAGAGTTTAATATATAAATGTACAGGACTCCAGTATAATGGCGGGAGAAAGAGAGAGAGAGAGAAAAAAAGGCTGAGACAATGCATGAAAAACAAAGAAAAAAAGTGAATAAAGAGATAAGATACGTGGAGAAAGAAGATAATAGTGGTAGAGAGAGAGAGAGAGAGAAAGAAGAGGGACTAGAAAAGAGACTGAAAGAGACGAGGGAGAGAAAGTTGAAGAGAGAATAGAAAGAGACTGAGAGAGACTGAAAGAGACAGAGAGACTGAGACAGACAGACAGACTGAAAGAGACTGAGAGAGACTGAGAGACTGAGAGAGACTGAGAGAGACAGAGAGAGACTGAAAGAGACAGAGAGACTGAGAGAGACAGACAGACTGAGGGAGATTGAGAGAGACTGAGAGAGTCTGAGAGAGACAGAGACACTGAGAGAGACTGAGAGAGACAGAGAGAGACTGAGAGAGACTGAAAGAGACAGAGAGACTGAGAGAGACAGACAGACTGAAAGAGACTGAGAGAGACTGACAGACTGAGAGAGACTGAGAGAGACAGAGAGAGACTGAAAGAGACAGAGAGACTGAGAGAGACAGACAGACTGAGGGAGACTGAGAGAGACTGAGAGAGTCTGAGAGAGACAGAGAGACTGAGAGAGACAGAGAGAGACAGAGAGAGACAGAGAGAGACAGAGAGAGACAGAGAGAGACAGAGAGAGACAGAGAGAGACAGAGAGAGACAGAGAGAGACAGAGAGACTGAGAGAGACAGACTGAGAGAGACTGAGAGAGACTGAGAGAGACAGAGAAAGACAGAGAGACTGAGAGAGACTGAGAGAGAGACTGAGAGAGACAGAGAGAGACAGAGAGAGACTGAGAGAGACTGAGAGATACCTGACGGGCACGTGACATTCTTGCCACAGTCCGAATCTCTACGAAGCTGTGTTTCTCCATGGCAATCATCTCCGTCGCTCACAGGAGGTGGGTTGTCGCACGCTCTACACAAGTACAACAACATACATTTCTCGTTTTAAAAACTCCTTTGGAATTTTAGGAGAAGAGGGATGACGATAAAAAAAAAATTTGCAAATAGGGCTTGTAAGTCTACGGTCTCGAAATCTACTAGCTGCATAGTACGAGAACGAGAAGTTGTGACCTACTTGCAAGCCCGATTGTAAGTGGATTGAAGGGGGGGGGGGGGTACCGCACCGGGTGACACCCGACCTAGTGACGCCACAGGGTCTAAGGAAGACGCCACTAGCTTAGACAGTGGTTTGCCTACATGAGTTCTCTCCATTTGGACACTGAAGTGAAGGCGTCCAAAAAAAAAAAAAACATCCGACTCAGCGAGCCCCCTAATTGGACTAACTGGGAAGCACGCGTAGACAGGAATATACGTGTGCTAGGTTATAAGTTCCAATAGGTCAAAAAATCAAACAGCGATTCCAGCAAATTGATGCCACACATAAAGAAAAAAAAAAGAAACGCGATTTTTTTTTTTGCAGTGTATTATTTTAAATGTCGAACATTTCATCTCAATATTATGATAAATCAAGAAATATGAGTCTCCAATCAATTATCCTAACTTTTGAGAGCGACACGACCAAGAGTCGCAGTATCAAACAGGAGTTAATAATAAAACTATACCTTGAGCGTGTGTGTCCGTATTTGCCACACTCCAGTACACACTCCCATTCAGTCCAGGTATTCCATTGTCCATCAGCTAGGAGTATATATATATATATATATATATATATATATATATATATATATATATATATATATATATATATACATACGTAAATATATATATATATATATATATGTATATATATATATATATATATATATATATATATATATATATATATATATATATATATATATATATATATATATATATATATATATATATATATATGTAGAAAGAGAAAGAGAGAGACGCACTATTTAAAATAGGCCATAGATATGCGAGAGGTAGCATTGGTAGACATTGGTCAAGCAGTGGAACAAACTGACCAGTCACGTGAGACCATTGAACCGTCAGTTGGGAGATAAAAATGTGTGTATGTATTTGTGTGTGTTTTTTTCCAAAGTGACTTATTTTTGATATGTGTCTCTGGAAATTCGATAGCTCTACGGTTATGCGACTTACTTAAACAAAAATGCTCAATTAATAATATGTGGACCTATTGTGTGGACCTATTGTGTGGACCTATTGTGTGGACCTATTGTGTGGACCTATTGTATGGATCTATTGTGTGGACCTAGTGTGTGGACCTATTATGTGGACCTATTACGTGGATTTATTGTGTGGACCTATTGTGTGAACCTATTATGTGGACCTATTGTGTGGACGTATTGTGTGGACCTATTGTGTGGACCTATTGTGTGGACCTATTGTGTGGACCTATTGTGTGAACCTATTATGTGGACCTATTGTGTGGACCTATTTGTGGACCTATTGTGTGGACCTACTTCTAGGTGGTTTAGATAGGTCTTCATCTATCCGTGTGTCCATGTCATCATCTGCCAAGAAACAAGTGAAACTGTATTATTAAAAAATATCAACATAATATTTTGTTACAATTATAAAAAGGACAAAGTAAAATTGTATTATTATTATTTTAAAATATATCAGCATAATATATAGTTAAAAGTATACACTTAAATAAAATACATATACCACATTACATACTTTATTCCGCCTTGCTTTCGCTAAAGGTTTTCGATTTTTAAAAAATAAACGCCGTACTAAAATTCTTTTTTCCAGGCATCTCTTCGGGAGGAGAGGGGAGAGCTGCCCCCCCCCCCCCCCCTCCCGAATGAAATATAGAATTTATATAGAAAATATATACTTTTAACAACAGTGTCCTTCTCCCCCGCCCTCGTTCCCCACACTTCCCCCCGGAAATTTTAGTCCGCCCCCCCCCCTTCAAGAAATTTTAAGTCCCCCTCCCCTTCCCCCCCGCCCCCCCCCCCCCCCCCAACGTAGAAAAAAAGTCTGAAAGAAACACTGCATACTAATACTGGCCAATCCCAAAACGTCACTCAATTTCAGTTTATTGTCTGATTTCAAACATTCCGGTGGGAATGCGAGGTCTGGTGGTGATGGGGGGGGGGGGGGGGGGGGGGGGGGGCTGAGAGGTGGGGGAGGTGAGGATCGCACAACTGCTACCCGGAAGTCTCTAGTTCGGACCCGTCTTTCGGTGAGCTCTACTGCATGGACCGTCGGGTTCTGAAGTGTAACCGTATGTTGCCAGACTTCAGCCTCCACCGCCGGTGTATTGGTAGTGAGAGCAGCTATGGTTCCTGGCAGACTTGCCACATTGGCACGACAGTTACACCAGCAAACAAAACAAAGCGAAGGAAAGGGAGCTCACCTAGTCCGTTGGCAACCTCTTCATCTATATGCCCGTCACAGTCGTTGTCGATTAAGTCCCCTGGGTCCACTTTAGGATTTAGCACGCATACCTTCAAAGGGGAAGAAAGTGTTTGATAGGCATTGAAACATGAGAATTTTTTTTTCAAGTCCAATTTATTTAGTATAGACAAACAATAAGTGACTAACACACTACCCATATATGTCTGCGTGTATCTATTAGTGTGTAAGCAAATGTGTAAGAGAGATAGTATGATAATATGCTTAGGAGTATATATACATACATAAGTATGTATGGTTGGGATGTAGTGTCTGTGTGTAAATAATTAATGTGTTTGTGTGTGTTTACTTGTGTTTGACTCTATACTTAATATTAATGCATATATATATATATATATATATATATATATATATATATAATGCAAATTATATATATACATATAATTATATGTATGTTATAGAAAAATGCCAACGTAAGTTTGTGACTGTGGTTGTGTCTGTGTTTATGTTTATATTGGTCTTTTATATAAATACGCGAAAAATGGCCCGTTGAGGAAGGATACAACGGGAGCTAGGTTGACAGTGCTGTCTTTTTTCTCTAAACTAAAACCAACCCCCCCCCCCCACACACACACACACACACTCCAAAACATGTCTACAGTCCCATTCAACGAAATATAATTATTTACTTTTTCCAGTGTCTGCCCCCTCCCCGAAAATTCTACCCCCGCCCCCGAAAATTTCAAGTACCCCCACCCCTCTCCGGGGAGGAAAAAGTCTGAAAGAAGCACTGGTCGCATTTGTAGATCATACAAACTAAAGGAAGAACCTGGGCGGGGCTTCGGCCCTCCGGAAGAGATGCATGAAAAAAACTGCACGCTAAACACTTTTTTTAGATTAGAAAAATTCCTCCCTCCGGGGAGGAAAAAGTCTGAAAGAAACACTGGTATCGCGCTTAGCCACTACCCGAAGAATTGCATGAAACTCTGCACGCAAACCACTTTTTAGATTAGACACATTAATTAGGCGGTAATTTTATTATAGAGTATCGATGAAGAAATTTCTTTTGAGTTGGGGAGGGGGGAGGGGGCTTAGACGTTCTTAAGCCGGGGTGGGGCTTCGCCCCAACCCGAAGAATTGTATGAAAGAAACTCTTCACGCAAACCACTTAGATTATACAAAATTGGCTTTTAAGTTCAATGTTTACTCGAATCAATGACGTCAAATTACTGTGTGCACTCTCCAAGCTTGATACTATTTTCTACTATATGCTAAATGTGACGTCATATTTCGTTTCCGTATTACTATGCATGTTTTTATTTTGCGTGTGTTTTCTCTACAGCGTTTTTGTCAGACAGATAGATAGATAGATACACAGACAGCGAAACTATTAGTATTAATATAAATGTATATATATATATATATATATATATATATATATATATATATATATATATATATATATATATATATATAAACAAAACCACATGACAGTCAATAACAAAAAAATGTTCAGATCAACTAAAATCCTCCAATACATTATTAAAATTTTGCTGTGAGATATTTTGTCTGAGATATTTTGTCTGAGATCATTTTGCCCATGATATCATTTGTCCTGGTATCTTTTGTCCGTGAGATCATTTGTCCTGAGATCATTTGTCTTGATATCATTTGTCCGTGAGATATTTTGTCTGAGATATTTTGTCCTGAGATCATTTGTCCTGTCACCATATATATATATATATATATATATATATATATATATATATATATATATATATATATATATATATATATATACATATATATATATATATATATATATATATATATATATATATATAACTTTGATATTTATTTGATTGATGTCTACTATTTAATTGATGTCTACCCGCTTATGTTGGTTTATGCGTGTGTGTACATAGTCTCCCTATGTCTCAGGACGTGAGTATTACAGCTGACCACCATCAGCACACCTTGTTGATCTCCGCCGAAATGTACCCCGCAGGGTTCGTGTAGCTGTAGTACTTAGCCACTCCGTAAAGGTAACAGCCAAAAAAAACGGTTTTCACCCCGTACAGATTGTGTGAGCCTTGGGTGACGCCCTTGTTGACAACTATGTAGTGGGTGCTTCCATACACAGGCGTATTGGTCGTCCTGGAAATTAATCGATATCCTTTTTAATTAGCAGTCAAGTAGGCTTTATTTATTTATGTATATATTTGATTGATTAATTAATTTATTCATTAATTAATTCATTCATTCATTAGTTTATTTATTTATTTATTTATTTATTTATTTATTTAATATATTTATTCATTTATTTTATTTTATTTTATTTTATTTTATTTTATTTTATTTTATTTTATTTTATTTTATTTTATTTTATTTTATTTTATTTTATTTTATTTTATTTTATTTTATTTTATTTTATTTTATTTTATTTTATTTTATTTTATTTTATTTTATTTTATTTTATTTTATTTTATTTTATTTTATTTTATTTTATTTTATTTTATTTTATTTTATTTTATTTTATTTTAACTGCCTTAAACAAAAAAGCAACATAATAATTGACCTGTTTTATCACACACGTAAAACATTTCAATTCCTTGCCACACTTCCTGAAGTGTATTTAGATACATGGAGACCTCATACCAATTGGTGTATTCAGTACAAAAACGAATTTGGTTCAAATAGGATTCCATTTAAAAATATACTTACTCAGTTAGTTCTGCGCTATCCAAACGTAAAAAATTTAAATCTTCACTTTTTACAACCGCAACAAAAAAATTATTGGGTGTCATTGTTCTTGAAAATGGTGTGCTACATAATATAAAAGTGTTATGGTTAGTTACAAGATATAAGCACACATACAAACACACACACACACACACACATATATATATATATATATATATATATATATATATATATATATATATATATATATATATATATATATATAAACCATGAACCACACCACCCCATACCCATCTCATTAGCCACAGTTTAAACACATTTTCACCACTCGCCACACCCAAGTGCAGAACTATCTCACCACCAGACACCTCTCCACCTTAGTGACCCACCTCTCCATCTGTGTGGCCCACCTCACCACGTTGTGACCCACCTCTCCACCTTAATAACCCACCTCTCCACCTTACTGACCCACCTCTTCACCTTAGTGACCCACCTCTCCACCTTAGTGACCCACCTCTCCAACTCACAGACCCACCTCACTGACCCACCTCTCCACCTTACAGACCCACCTCTTTACCTCCCAGAGCCACCTCACTGACCCACCTATCTACCTCACAGACCCACCTCACCGACCCACCTCTCCGCCATACAGAGCCACCTCACTGACCCACCTCTCTACCTCAAAGACCCACCTCTCCACCTAACAGACCCACCTCACCGACCCACCTCTATACCTCACAGACCCACCTAACTGACCCACCTCTCTTCCTCACAGACCCACCTCTTTACCTCACTGACTCACATAACTGACCCACCTATCTACCTTACAGACTCACCTCACTGACCCACCTCTCTACATCACTGACTCACCTCTCCACCTTAGTGACCCACCTGTCCACCTTAGTGACCCACCTTTTCACCTTAGTTACCCACCTCTCCACCTCACTGACACACCTCTCAACGTCACTGACACACCTCACTGACCCACCTCTCCACCTCACTGACCCACCTCACTGACCCACCTCACTGACACACCACACTGACACACCTCTCTACCTCACTGACCCACCTCACTGACCCACCTCTCTACCTCACTGACCCACCTCACTGACCCACCTCACTGACCCACCTCACTGACACACCACACTGACACACCTCACTGACCCACCTCACTGACCCACCTCTCTACCTTACTGACCCACCTCACTGACACACCTCACTGACCCACCTCACTGACCCACCTCTCTACCTCACTGACCCACCTCACTGACCCACCTCTCTACCTCACTGACCCACCTCACTGACCCACCTCACTGACACACCACACTGACACACCTCACTGACCCACCTCACTGACCCACCTCTCTACCTTACTGACCCACCTCACTGACACACCTCACTGACCCACCACGCTGACCCGCCTCACTGACCCACCTCACTGACTCACCTCACTGACACACCACACTGACACACCTCACTGACACACCTCACTCATCCACCTCACAGACCCACGTCACTGACCCACCTCACTGACCCACCTTATTGACCCACCTCTCTACCTCACAGACCCACCTCACTGACCCACCTCACAGACCCACCTCACAGACCCACCACACTGACCCACCTCACTGACCCACCTCACAGACCCACGTCACTGACCCACCTCATTGACCCACCTCACTGACCCACCTCACTGACCCACCTCACCGACCCACCTCTCTACCTCACAGACCCACCTCACTGACCCACCTCACTGACCCACCTCACTGACCCACCTCACTGACCCACCTCACCGACCCACCTCTCTACCTCACTGACCCACCTCACTGACCCACCTCACAGACCCACCTCACTGACCCACCTCACTGACCCACCTCACCGACCCACCTCTCTACCTCACTGACCCACCTCACTGACCCACCTCACAGACCCACCTTACTGAACGACCTCTCTACCTCACAGACCCACCTCACTGATCCTCACACCTCCAGCTCCTCTCCTACTCACCTCCATATATAGCTGTCATAAAACAAATTGGTAGCAACCAGATTGCTTAAGGAGCCGTCTCCTTCGTCCTCTCTTATTTCGTTTTTTCCTTCAATGTAACCGGCATAATGGCAAGAGCTCGCTTGAACGAAGAAAGCCTGGATGGGCTTATTGCTACTGAAGGCGCGCGAATCTTGAAAAGGGAGCTGATGATGAATAAAGTCTATGATATTTAGGTATTTGTGCAGTAAGCAGGGAGAGTTGTGTAAAGAGTGATAGGATTAGAATCCCCCCCCCCCTATAATAGCTTTCTTCTTAAAGTTATATATATATATATATATATATATATATATATATATATATATATATATATATATATATATATATATATATATATACTGCATACCCGTGCTCGGCCACGGTGAAACTTTTTTAATGTACCAACTTGGGAACAGAACAAAACTAAACAGAAAAGAAAAGAAAACACAAACACAACACAAACCCAATGCAAACGCACTCATAAAATAAACAAAATCAAAAACGCGACACGCAAACACAAAAGAAAAAACAAACACAAACACAAACACAATGCAAACACAAATGCAAACGCAAAATAACAAACGAAAAAGCAAATGAAAAACATAAACACAACTTAAATGCAAACATAAATACATAGTGCTCACAGTCTAGTCCGGGACGCTAAATCGCACCCGGCCGGGCCGCGCTCGGAACCGCCTTATTCAACTTAGAAAACGACTATAATACCCCGATTTATCCAAAATATAAACAAAAGGCAATATTTAAATTATCCGTATTTTACCTACCACGGTGCATTTTATCAATCCATACTAATTATAATATTCTAACAATAATGTCCTTTTTACTTTCTCGTATAAACGAAGTATAGAGAAAGTCTTGTAATTGTGCAAAAATAAACCGGGAGTGATCTCCCCTAAACTTTCTCGAATATTCTTATATAAAACAAAAGGGGATGGGAACTCAGGATATACTTATGATTTTTAATCCATTTTAAATACTTTAACTTTTTAAAATAGAATAGAATCTCATAGGAAAAAGAATTGCGCACTAAGCGAACGCCAAATAAAGATGTTCATAAGAGTGCGCAATATTATTAGTACTTTATAAATTTACATGCGTTTTTTTGAGAAATCGGAAATAGAGTAAATTAGTACTTACGGTCAACGGAAAATACTCAAAATTTGATAGAAGGTAGAAAATTGGGTCTTTTACTTACATGTGAAATTTCATTTATCTATATGGAATAGTACTCAAGTTATAGGCTTTTGAAAAATTCAAAGTAAAAAAAGTACCACTTCCGGTTATCGGAAATCGCTCAAAAGTTGATACAGATCTACGATTTTAATATTATACTTATATATGAAATTTCATCAACCTAGCTGTAACATACACACACACACACAAGTTTTGAGTAATTTTCGATGACCGGAAGTAGAAATTTACGCTTTTTCCGATTTCTCAAAAACGAATGTAAATTTTTAAGTACTAATAATATTGCGAACTATTATGCACATTTAATTTGGCGTTCACTTGGTGTGCAATTTTTTTTTCTACAAGGTTTTATTCTATTTTAAAAACTTTAAGTATTTTAAATGGATTAAAAATCATGTCTATATACCGAGTTCCCATCCCGTGTTGTTTTATATTAGAACATTCGAGAAAGTTTATGGTAGATCACTCCCGGTTTATTTACGACCGCATTCACATTTTGATTGAGTTGAATTTCTTTTAAAATTACCTCCCTTGGCAAAATTATAAAAGATTGTAGTTAATTATTATTTTACCCTACTGTTATTAAAATGTTTTCAATTTTCTAGTAATCTAAGCGAAAGTATTATTTGACATTGATCCGTTTAATATGTTTTAGCAATGCGCATTAATTTAATATTTTATTCACGTTATGCGAAAGTGTATAAACAGTGCCAACTCTATACCAAACTTAAGTCGTTATATAAATAAATCCTACCCTTCTAGTTGAAATAAGACACTGTGATGCAAGTAAAAAACACGACATGTGGTGTGGTTACTATTATGATTTCAAAATTTATAGCGATGACTGACGGAAGAACTGTCACGTTACCAGCATATACATATATATGTACATATATATATATATATATATATATATATATATATATATATATATATATATATATATATATATATATATATATATATATATATATATATATATATATATATATATATATATATATATATATATATATATATATATCGATAGTCTCGGTCGCAAACCGAAAATGTAAATTTTACAGGAGAGACAAAAAACTGATTATTTCATTGTTGATCGCTCTAATACTATTTTTTTTAAATGATATGTGCGAAGAAACTCTCTACCGACTATACTGTAGCGTTTTAAAATGAGTTTTGTTAATATTTACAATATTATTAGCAGGTTTAAAAGATAGTCGGGTTTTCTCGGTCTAAAACTCTCGCTGCAAACCGTCTATCTGTGTGCGCGCAGACTTAGCTGTTTTGAACCGAGAATTTCGGTCTCAGCCGGGTTCGTTCTTTTTGTCCAATAAACGTGATTTAGTTATGTTTATGTTTTTAAGTTATAATTAACACTTCATAATATTTAGATTATAGTTTTGGGCTCATATTTTAATTATTTCAGTTTATTCTACTTTATGGGGCCAGTTTAATTTTAGTAGAGATGTTTTAGTATGGCTTTATCACTTTCGACTGTTTATTCATTATGGCAGTATTTAGCACTAGACTTGTTAACTATTGAAGGTTGTGCTTTATTACATCTTTCTATTCTCACAGTTAATTTTATTAAATCTGGTGGGTGCTGGGTTTTGAGAGAGGCAATTTTGTTAAGAGAGGCTGATATGTTGAAAGGCTGGTCTGTTGAGAGAGGCTGGTCTGTTATGTGGTAAGACTGGTGTGTTGAGAGAGGCTGGTCTGTTGAGACAGGCTGATCTGTTGAGAGATGCTGATGTCTTGTATGGTAAGACTGGTGTGTTGAGAGATGCTGGTCTGTTGAGAGAGGCTGATATGTTGAGAGTCTGATCTGTTGATAGAGGCTGGCATGTTGAGAGAGGCTGATCTGTTAAGAGAAGCTGATCTGTTAAGAGTAGCTGATCTGTTGTAAGAGGCTGATCTGTTGTGAGAGGCTGATCTGTTGAGAGAGGCTGGTCTGTTGAGAGAGGCTGATCTGTTAAGAGAGGCTCGTCTGTTGAGAGAGGCAGGTCTGTTGAAAAATTAATCATAAAAGTTACTAAAGACAACTAACCATGTCGTTGAACATGTACGCCAAACATTTTGTAACCTACCAAAAAAAAACACTTAACACTTAGATAACCCTCAATCTTAAGCTAGTAGTGAATTAAAAATAATAAAATTTATTGCACAATCTTGTGGAAATATAATTCGAATAATATTGTTTTGGTTTATATTCAGATTCTACAATCAAGATCTAGTTTCAAAGCATTATGTTAGCCTAAAAAATTATAAACATCAGTTTCAGAGTTTCTTCCAGGCATCTTCGGGGGGGGGGGGGGGCTAAGCCCCCCCCCCCCCCGAAAATTTTTTACCGCCCCCCCCCCCCCCCCCGAACGAAATGAAATTTATATAATTTATATAGAAAATATATACTTTTAACAGTGTCCGCCCCCCCGAAGAAAGTTTACCGCCCCCCCCCCCCCGAAGATTTCAAGTGCCCCCCGGAGAAAAAAGTCTGGAAGAAACACTGATCAGTTTGGTTATTGAAAATCTGGAAATAGCAATATTAAACAAATACTATTTGTTTATTATTCTTTAAAGTGATAAAATATAATAGAATAGTTGAACATAATTAATCAAATATCCTTACCTATAAGTACTGTGACTGCCGTGCTATAAAATTGTGTGATTGCGGTGTGCGACTGCGTTCCCGATCAAAAGTGTACTGACTGACAAATATAGCGATATTCGTTTTGCGCCGAGAATTTTAGCGCTTGAAATAATAGGCGGTTTGTTCACATGATTATATCTCGATAATCATTCTCTAGATTTCTCTAATATTTTCAGGCATTATGGGGAATCATACTGGCTTTTGATTTATGTAAAAACACAACATCGAATTTTTTTGAGTTAGACGGTTTGCGACCAAGACCATCAATATATATATATATATATATGTGTGTGTGTGTACGTGTGTTTGTACTTATAATAATATAAACGAGAAAAATGGCCCGTTGAGGACGGGATACAACGGGCGCTAGGTTGATAGTGTTGTCTCTTTTCTTTAAACAAAAAAAAACGCAACCACCTTTACCTCAAATTGAATATGAAACGAATAAACCGGGAGTGATCTCCCCTAAACTTTCTCGAATATTCTTATAAAAAACAACAGGGGATGGGAACTCGGGCTATAGACATGATTTTTAATCAATTTTAAATACTTAAAGTTTTAAAAATAGAATAAAATCTCGTAGACAAATGAATTGCACACCAAGTGAACGCTAAATAAAAGAGTGTTTAATAGTGCGCAATATTATTAGTACTTTAAACATTTACATTAGTTTTTTGAGAAATCGGAAGTAGCGTAAATTACTACTTCCGGTCAATGGAAATTACTCAAAATTTAACAGAAGGTAGAGAATTAGATCTTTAACTTATGTGTGAAATTTCATTTATCTATGTGAAATAATACTCAAGTTATAGGCTTTTTAAAAATTCAAAGTAGAAAAAGTACCACTTCCGGTTCTCGGAAATCGCTCAAAAGTTGATACGGATCTACGATTTTGATAAACTACTTATATATGAAATTTCATCAACCTAGCTGTAACGGTACTCAAGTAATCGTGTTTACACACGGACAGACACACAGACACACACACACACAGACATACGGACAGAGTTGCAAAGCCCAGTTTTTCAGACTGGATTACGCACAAAACCTCTTAATTTTGATACATCTGGATTGATAATTTTTGCCCGATTAAAATAAGTCCTCTATACTTCGGATGTGATGAAGGACTGAGGTGTAATACGGTGAAAATTGTTAAAATTTCAAGTGATTTTTGTGCACGATTACAATACTTTCTCTATACTTCGTATATACGAGAAAGTAAAAATGACATTAAAAACGGATTTTTATCAAGAATCGAGATTTTAATCGGATTTAAGCTTGATCTACACGTAGTTATCGCGCATTTATACAAATTATAGTTCTAGGCATATCCCTAAACCATGCACGTAATCTTATTCATGACAAAAGTAGTAAGTAGCATTTAGAGTATCTTTCAGGCGCCCGTTGTATCCTTCCTCAACGGGCCATTTTTCTCGTCTATAATAATAGTTTCGCTGTCTGTCTATCAATCTATCAGTCGATCTATCTATCAGTCGATCTATCTATCAGTCGATCTATCTATCAGTCGATCTATCTATCAGTCGATCTATCTATCAGTCGATCTATCTATCCATCCATCCATCCATCCATCCATCCATCCATCCATCCATCCATCCATCCATCCATCCATCCATCCATCCATCCATCCATCCATCCATCCATCCATCCATCCATCCATCCATCCATCCATCCATCCATCCATCCATCCATCCATCCATCCATCCATCCATCCATCCATCCATCCATCCATCCATCCATCCATCCATCCATCCATCCATCCATCCATCCATCCATCCATCCATCCATCCATCCATCCATCCATCCATCCATCCATCCATGCATCCATGCATCCATCCATCCATCCATCCATCCATCCATCCATCCATCCATCCATCCATCCATCCATCCATCCATGCATCCATGCATCCATCCATCCATCCATCCATCCATCCATCCATCCATCCATCCATCCATCCATCCATCCATCCATCCATCCATCCATCCATCCATCCATCCATCCATCCATCCATCCATCCATCCATCCATCCATCCATCCATCCATCCATCCATCCATCCATCCATCCATCTATATATATATATATATGTATATATATATATATATATATATATATATATATATATATATATATATATACAATAGCTAGACCCATACACACAGGTTGAAATTCTAGGTGTTAGTAGTAGGCAACGCTTTAAAAAGTGAGCGTAAAATACCCTGAGTATGTATGACAAATTCCTGATAGTTATTTGCCGGAAGGCCGATTTGCCGAAAGAACACTTGCCCGAATGCAACAAATGCCAGAATGAACACTTGCCCGAATGATACAAATGCCCGAATGCCACTTGCCTTCGGGCAAACAGCATTCGGGAAAGTGTCTTTCGGGAAAACGTCCGGCTCGAATAGATTCATACAGGAAGAAACTGGCAGACAAAAGCATTGAGAGAATGCGAATAGAGCAAAAACCAGAAAGCGTTAAAGAGAAATAGAGTAAGTAAATAAGAGATTAAAATGGAAAGAAAAGTGTAAGAATGTAGATTAAAAAAGGATAAACCTAATGCCTGTTTGGATGTACTCACAATAGCAGAATCCCCAGCTTTGGCCAGGAATACGGGGGGATAATTGGAGCCACCACCCTCAGAGATTGTGATAGTTGTGGAGTCCTCTGATGAGATGACCATGTTAAACACCGGCGTATGCCGGGTAATCACCACCGTAATAAACTCCTTGCCAAAAGATACCACCGGGGTCAACATCTCTGGATTTAGTTAAAATAGAAAATATTAATTTAATAAAATCGTGTATATAACTTAGCCCAAAATTTAAAGCCCTCCGTCCCCTTTAACAATTCGTCCGTTTGCTGTATTTATTACGTTTCAACACTATTGTCAAAGTTTTAACACTTCTTTTTATTTTATTATACAATACATTTCTCTAGATCTACAGATCAGCCGTCGAAGCGAAAAAAGTTATGAATGAATCTAGAATTCTAGATTTAGATCTAAATCTAGGTCACAAGACGTAAATTCTAGATCTAGAATCTATTTCAGGCCTTAATTATTTATATAAATCTTTATTTAGCTTCAATAAATATCTAATTCGAGAATACATTGGATTTATCGATCTAGGTTCTAGATCTAGATATAGTAGGATTACTCGCTAACTTGGAGGCGTGGTCGGTTGCTAACAACAATGGCGTCCGGACCGGGTGCATGACTCCCGACCATTTTTATGCCATGTTTACTACGATCAAAATGGCGGGTTTTCACGTTATATAAACATGCTATAGGTGGCCAGGGCTATTATGCCAGAAAAGCATTTTGAAATTTGCTTTGGAGAATGAAGGCTAAATTTTGAAGTCGGTGTCATTAAAATTAATAGAACTTTTAAAAGGTCACCTGTGACGTCAGTATATGAAGGGATAGTGTGGTCAGACTCATGCTCAGCCGAAATCGGTGTTTTTAAAAGATAAAAAACGTATTTTTGAATGTGGGGTCTGGTTATTTGGTGATGATAAGTCACCGACGTGATGTCATTTATGGATGACCCACAAAACTCACAGTAATCCAGGGTATGACGGGTAAGTAGAGTTCACCTGTTTCTATGTTCTCAGCATATGAAGGGATAGTGTGGTCAGAGCCATGCTCGGCCGGAATCGTTTTTTTAAAATACAAACATGTCTGAGACTTGGCGGGACACTGGGCAGGTGAAGTAGAGTTTAGTAGAGTTTTTAAAATATAAAAAACGTCTTTTTGAATGTGGGGTCTGGTTATTTTGGGATGATAAGTGCTGACAGACGTGATGTCATTTATGGATGACCCGCGAAGCCCACAGTTATCTAATTAGATAACGGGTAGTCTAGTTAATCTTTAAAAATCACATTGGACTTTTTTAATTTCCAAAACACGCAATTTTCGTTAGTTCAGTAAGAATGTGCGTAGTTTTTTTTTTCTTTGGCATAAAACCCAACTACATTTCCAAATGAATGTATTGGTCATGCACACATTTTTATATCTTTTATTTTTACTATACCTAGAAACGAGGACGCGTGGCCTAGCTCTAAAACGCTAGACTTCTAATCCGAAAGTCGTGTCCGATTTCAGGTCAGTAGAACGCCCCTAACTCCACTCACTTCTGATGGGTACCTGACTCACGTTAGGGAAAGCACAGGCGGCTGGACAAAGTGCTGACCACACTATCCCTTCATATGCCGAGGTCTTTGAAACAGATGGACTCTACTGTATCTGCACCGTGTGTCTTGGGCACAAACGGGAAATGGGGACAGTACCTAGAAACAAGTCCCTGGAACCGACAACGTCCGGAATAATTTGCATCGTTTCACAACTAATGACGTCTGTGTAGGACAGGCAGTCGCCACTGATCAAACCAATCGGATTTTTCCCTTCAACTGTGGTCCCTGTATTAGTCCATTTAAAAATGTTCAAATTAGTTCAACAGCATGTGTAGGTTAATTCTTATACTTTATCAAGCAAAATGATTAATGAACAGAAATTTTAGTTAATAATGTTTAGTATATTTCTATTATTTTATCACGTAAAAACTTTTTACGAACACAGATATTTAGTTTAATATGCGTTATTAACATGCATTATTTAATGAAGATAAACTTTTTACTTTCTCGTATATACCAAGTATAAAGAAAGTCTTGTAATCGTGCAAAAAATAATCGAGATTTTTACTAATCTCGATGTTTTACACCCAGTACCGTAGCGAGGGGGAGGGGGGGGGGGGGGGGCTGGGGGGGACATATGTCCCCGGGCGCCGACCTTAGGGGGGGCGCCAAATTGAAAGTTTGAAGGGGGGTGCAAATGAAAAGTTCGAGGGGGGTGCAAATCGAAAGTTTGAGGGGGGGGGTGCAAATGAAAAGTTCGAGGGGGGTGCAAATCGAAAGTTTGAGGGGGGGGGGTGCAAATGAAAAGTTCGAGGGAGGCGTGCAAATCGAAAGTTTGTCCCCGGGCGCCGGAAAGGGTCGCTACGCCTCTGTTTACACCTCACTAAAATGGAAAAAAAAAAATTTTGCAATCTTGTCCGTATGTCTGTGTGTGTGTCTGTGTGTTTGTAAACACGATAACTTTAGTACTGTTACAGATAGGTTGATGAAATTTCATATATAAGTATTTTATCAAAATAGTAGATCCGTATTAACTTTTGAGCAATTTCCGATAACCGGAAGTGGTACTTTTTCTATTTTGAATTTTTCAAAAGCCTATAAATTGTGTACTATTTCAGACAGACAAATGAAATTTCACATGTAAGTAAAAGATCTAATCCTCTACCTTCTGTCAAAATTTCCGTTGACCGGAAATAGTAATTTACGCTATTTCCAGTTTCTCAAAAAACGCATGTAAATTCATAAAGTACTAATATTATTATGCACATTTTGTGTTGGCGTTCGCTTGGTGCGCAATTCTTTTTTCTACGAGATTCTATTCTATTTTTAAAAGTTTAAGTAATTAAAAATCATGTCTATATTCCGAGATATATAAGAATATTCCAGAAAGTTTAGGGGAGATCACTCCCGGTTTATTTATGAAAACAGTTTGTTTAAGATTATGTTGGGAAGTTTATCACATACGGAGTATAGGGGGCTTACCTTAATCGGGCAAAAATTAAAAATCCAGATTCATCAAAATTTCGGCGTTTTATGCGTATTCGAGTCGGAAAAATTTGGTTTTGCAATTCTGTCCGCATGTCTGTGTGTGTGTATGTGTGTCTGTGAATTTACGCTATTTGCAACTTCTCAAAAAGCAAAAATAAAGAGATTCTATATTATATAAGAATATTCCAGAAAGTTTAGGGGAGATCACTCCCGGTATACTATTTTAAGTGAACCGTCTTTATGAACGCAAATAGTTTAGTTTGCCATGTGTAACTTAATATCCATTAGTATATGGAACAATCACTAATGTTTACAAAACGTTTACTTACCAGTTAGGGAGCTCTGCACAACAAGATTACCTTTGCATTTTGATAAACCAAATGCTTCAAATCTTTATAGAAAAAAATATTATAAACATGTATGAAACAAAACAATACTAAAATACTATAAAACATATTTTTAAAAAGAAATTTCCCTAAATTAAATAATTACAAAACTCAACATTTTTATAATGGCAATTTGTAGTGGGTAGGCTACCTCCCAAGTATACTGATTTATTTTGGATGGATTTCGCAGGAACCATTAACTATCACACTTGTTGAGTTGTAAGAAAAAAAAAGAAATGCATAAAAAACAATTTAATAACAAGCTTTTACGTGATAATGCGCTAAAAATGAAAAATAAATTATTTTGATGAGATATATTTTTGAAAACTATTATTTGAATAACTAAAAATAAAGCGTGGGTCGCTATTTTATGTATTGAATACCTTTACTAGAATTTAAAAAGCGACCCACACATGACGGACGACAGACAAAACGATGGACAGACAAAGTAAACAAGATGAATAAAAGCTTGTAAAACTAGCGTAAAATAATATGCGTCTGTTTTTTTTTTAAAAAACTGTTTCTGCTGGCATTATTATATTTGGAATACATGCCAAAGTAAACGTATTTTTTAAAAGTATTTTACATTATTCAATTATTATTATTTTTAACCAAACAGAAATATACTTGCTTTTTTAAAGTAACTTTTAATGTGCCAGCATCGGAAAATGTTTTGTCCAAGTAGCTAAAAGAAGTTCCAGGCGACATTTTTAGATTGATTGTAATTTCATTTTCTTCTACAGTTAAAACTTGAAAAGATGGATTTTGCCTGAAGATATAACGTACACAAAAGGAGCACACATATATAAATAAATAAATCGGAACAGGGTATTTCGCCCCTGTCAATTACCCCCCCCCCCCCCCCGGAAATCCCCCTCCCCCCCCGACATTGCCCCCGGAGTAATTACCCCCCTGTCAATTTACCTTCCGCCCAGTAGGACATTACCCCCCCCCCCCCCCCAACGACATGGGTTAGGGTTAGGGTTGGGGTTAGGGCTATGGCAAGGGCTAGGGTTAGGGTTAGAGCTAGGTTTAGGGTAAGGGTAAGGGTAAGGGTAAGGGTAAGGGTAAGGGTAAGGGTAAGGGTAAGGGTAAGGGTAAGGGTAAGGGTAAGGGTAAGGGTAAGGGTAAGGGTAAGGGTAAGGGTAAGGGTAAGGGTAAGGGTAAGGGTAAGGGTAAGGGTAAGGGTAAGGGTAAGGGTAAGGGTAAGGGTAAGGGTAATGGTAAGGGTAAGGGTAAGGGTAAGGGTAAGGGTTAGGGTTAGGGTTAGGGTTAGGGTTAGGGTTAGGGTTAGGGTTAAGGTTAGGGTTAGGGTTAGGGTTAGGGTTAGGGTTAGGGTTATGATTAGGGTTAGGGTTAGGGTTAGGGTTAGGGTTAGGGTTAGGGTTAGGGTTAGGGTTAGGGTTAGGGTTAGGGTTAGGGTTAGAGCTAGGTAAGGGTTAGGGTTAGGCTTAAACCAATGTCTAGGGTTGGTTTTGGTTTTGTTTGAAGTTTTAGGCTAAGGTGGTTTTTAGATTTTGGTCTTTTTCTTAAGTAGTATATAGTATAGTATATAGGTATATAATTCTAGTTAGAGTTAGGATTTTAACTTGAGAGGGGGGTGTAAATCCCTGTCGGGGGGTGGGGGGTAATCGCTCCGGGGGGTAAATACGGGGGGGATGTCCGGGAGTAATTTCCGGGGGGTGGGAGTTTTTAAATACAATTAAGGCACTGTCATACTGGCATAACCATATAAGTGTGCATACACATTTTGTTGAGGGGGACGAGAATTGCACAAGATCATTGTGTACCTCTACATGCAAACATTACCAGTAGTATATTAGGTTCCTTTTGGAACGCATGGTGGTGGTGGAGCCTGGTTAAACGAGATATAGTAAAATACTCCACTACCTGGTGGTGGTGGTGGAGAAGGGTGGTGGTGGTGGTGGAGGAGAGGGGGCGGTGGTGGTAGAGGAGAGGGGGAGTGGTGGTGGTGAAGGAGAGGGGGATTGGTGGTGGCCTGGGGGTGGTGGTGGCGGCGGAGGTACAATGACATGTAGTAAAATACTCCAGGGGTGGTGGTGGTGGTGGTGCAGGGTGAGGGTATAAAAAAGCACGAAGCCGAACGAAGCGAAATTCCAGAGGCAGTGCCAATGCACTGTGTGAACCTTTACCTGCGACACCACAACCTCCACCACCCCCTGGAGTATTTTACTATATAACATGTCTAACTCTCACCCTCACCCTGCACCACCACCACCACCCCTGGAGTATTTTACTATATGTCATTGTACCTCCGCCACCACCACCACCCCCAGGCCACCACCATTCCCCTCTCCTCCACAACAACCACCACCCCTCTCCACCACCACCACCACCAGGTAGTGGAGTATTTTACTATATGTCATTGTACCTCCGCCACCACCACCACCCCCAGGCCACCACGACTCCCCCTCTCCTCCACCCCCACCAACACTCCCCCCTCTCCTCCACCCCCACCACTCCCCCTCTCCACCACCACAACAAGGTAGTGGAGTATTTTACTATATCTCGTTGTACCAGGCTCCACCACCACCATGCGCTCCAAAAGGGACCTAATATACTACTATTACCATCTATTACTATCTATGTCGATGGTTCTTTCTCAGTCTAGGCCGTAAAAATTATACTTCACACAGGC